GATTTCCTTTTAACTAGTTATGCGTTTCGTCTTCTTAAAGTTGAGGTGTTTTCCAGTCTTTCATGCAGGACTGTTCTCTAGGATAGATGTGCTGCCGGGTAACTCGATAATTTAGGTAACGATTGCGATTCTGCTGCGCTTCTAGTCTCTGGAACTCTATTTTGATTCTGTTTCCTCAAAATACATACGAGGATATTCTACCCTATTCGAGTGCTTCTGGTCTGCGTAGTTGTTAGCTCCAGTCCATAGTCTGCATCCTTTCCGAGAGGTTTGAAGAGCAGCACCGAGGCCGCTCCAGAAAGGACGTCGAAAAGGTAGTTTAGAGTACAATGGGTAGTGTAGAGTACCACTTTTCCAGGTTGGTGAGCGAAAGGGGTTCCTATGGAACTAATTCATCGTTATCTTTCTCTCTTAATGGAATCATGAACCCAATCGCGACTGCGCGTGATTGCAATAGTAGAGTCAGGAGATTTTTCTTCAATGAAATTTGAGTGGATGGAGATTTCCCCTGCCCAGGGCTGGCGTAGATGAATGAGGGTATGAAGATTCTTTTCAGGAAAGGCAACTTTCACAATTTCATTTGAAACACGGCAGCCACCGGTGGATACCATAGTCACGAGTAAGATCTTTGGCAGTCACCGGTAGTTGCCATTGGGTTAAACCCATCCAGACCAGATCTTCTAGGCCAAATCTTGATTGCATGGCTTCTGTTGTGATTTAAAGAGCTCTAGTTTGTAACTTTCAGGTGTAATAGCCTCAAACTCGATTCGTGGAGTTATATTTGAAAACCAGGAACTTTGCCTTTCCGTTATTAACGGATAATCCATGCCATGAAAGTCTGAGCTTGGATGAACCCTTTTCGCTTATCTCTGCTCTGCAGTAACCGCTTATCAGCTGCAGAGAGAATTTTAAGATTTCCAAAGGAATATCGGTGAAAATACAGCTTCCGATAAAGAACTGTTCTGCAGTTGAAGCTCGCTCCTAGAGGATCTGGGAATGAACTAGTCAAGAGCGCCTTACTTACCGAAGATTTCTTCAGTTGTACTTGTTAGACAGTTCTTCAACTACTTTCACGGAATTTCCTCGTTCATACTGATGGTCCGGTGAACAATAATCGCGTCACTGTTCGAATCGATGGTGATGAAACCCCGTCGGGTGACGCTGGGCCTGTCTGCTGACGTCTATTTTTCGTGGCTGCTTGTCAGGCCACCTCCGCTTCTTCATGCAAACTGTCGCTTATTTGGATTTTAGACTCTTCCGGCCTCAGTAGACAGAAAAGCCGTAATTTCTACCATAACACTTGTTTTTGAAAGTTTTCTAACGCAGTTCTTGAGTGAGGCAATTTCAGAGCGTGTCAGGAATGGATTTGAACGCGGAACTCCAAATCAAAACCGAAACCGTACAATCCGTTGGCTCCAAGTCCAGCGTTCCTCCATCCTTCCATTATGGGGTAAGTTTTAATGGTTTAAGCTTTTGAGTTACTGAAATACTACTGTGCGATTTTCGACGTCAATGTACAGTTGCTTTAAGGAAGTGTTTCTAAAGACTGTCTCGACTAGCTTACTTCCGTACCCTTACTTTTTAAAAAAATCCTTCTCCCAGCCTTCCTTTATCGCTTGTAATCAGAAGGCAATTTGTCAATTTTTCAAAGGTCCCTCCAGGGAACAAAACCCAAAGCCAATTTCGAGCTTTCCAGGGAGAGACTGGATTTCACGTAGGGATACCCGTCGCCTTTGATCAAAATCTTGACAATATTTTAGCTTTTTTTTCCGCTTTGCTACGGCATCCTCTGTATAATTCCTCTTCCCCAATTCGCTTTCCTCTGCCTCCTGGCCTTCATGTGTCCAATATCCGCCTCATTCTGAAGGAGAACAGTCTGTGTTTGCATCGATCCATAACCTCTTGTATACACCTGCAGTGCCCATGTTCGTGTGTGTCTCGTCGTCTCGCTCAGTCGTAGTCTATCTCTTTCGTACTGTATTTTCGCGAGCAATTCATAATTCGTGGCTGATTCATGCACGTCTTCCGGCGCGCCGGACTGAATGAGTCGAGCGCATTGGCCTCCACATTGATTACAGAAAAACCGAGCTGTGTTGTTGATTTGGGAAGCTGATTGGAGGAAAAGTGCAGAGGGTTGGCGAGCCAAACCTATCTGGGTGAAAGAAGGCACCCCGAAGAGGATTCAGAAAGGGTGATGAGAGGTTTGGCACAGCGTCCCTCTTCACTACCTTTTTCGAAATCCTTGTTTGGCGAAAGAGAAAGTCCTTGAGTTACGAAATAGATTCCAAGTCGGCTAAGTTAACGACGTTACCGAGCCAAACGGTAATACTCGACTTCCTCCTTGGAAACTAATCTAGCCGTGTCAGAGATTAGCCAGGTGGCCAAAGGCGCGATTACTGGCACGATCTGAGGTGTCCGCTGGATCATCGGCTGAGCAGATGCTAATCACCTTCAGATTACAACTGTCAGCTTTGTGTAATTTATTTCTGTTTTCAGAGAAATAGTAGGGATTGCATTGAGATGTGGTTCAAGCAAAAAGGCAACCTTTCCCGGGCACGAACGAAAAAAGTACCGTAGCATTCTTCCGTTTGGGACCGTGTGGCCTCGCGGAATGCCTTGAAAGCCCGACTGCGTTCCTACTCCATTCCCCTATTCCTACTCTCTATAACTCGCTCACATCTCTGAGGTCTCATATCGATTTCTGTATCCTGTAAAAAAAAGGGGTGCCTGCGTAGCTCGCATGGCGAGGATCGAACCAGTGAGGTAACAGACAGTTCGCTCATATTGCAGAGCGCCTGTTAGCTTCGGGCCATATTACATTGGAAAATTCACCATCAATCATAAGTTTTCAGGCTGAACCCCTTACAATGCGACTTTATGCCACCTCAACCAGGGCCGTTTGGCCAACAGCCGAATCCGTTCTCACCGCAGGCCGCGCTGTTCTACGGTCAACAACCGCAGTTCAGCCAGGCTGCTACCGACACCCCTCGTGGAAGCCACTAGGGGCGGTAAGCAACAAGGCTAGAATTACGAAAGACATCTAGCTCTTTCAAGACATTCTCAAAGGATAAAGCTCTCCTCGAGAATCCCGAATGAGCTGAGCTGAGCGCCTCTGATAGAATTTAGAACAAGAAGGGGTCAAAATCCCATGCAAGACTTTCCAAGAAGCTACAACTCGACGAGATGATGTTGACAAGTAGAATCAAAGTGACTGTAAGTGAGCCTCGAGGTTTTTTGAAAGCGCTGAAGGGATTATGACGATGCGAAAGCAGTCTGGAGGCAGGATTACCTGAACACAATAGGAATCTGCTAATGGATATTGCCAGATGGATAGCGTAAGCTTTACTGTGAACAGACGGCTCCCTGCTCAAAACACACACACGCATACATGAACGGAATCACAGAGAACGCGTGATAAGTACAAGCATACTGTACGTGTGAGTGCGTGTGACGTCACCGTCAGTGATTACGGTAGCGTGAATTGAATACGTAATGTATTCTTAGTAGGAGAATAGACGTGTATATGTCAGGTATAGTGAAGTAGTTAGTGGGTGTGTGTCGTGCGCCGACGCCTCGATCGAGCGCGAAAACAGTGAGAGGAACAATTCGACGGGTTACTGTAGACCGTTTTTCAGGTATAAAAAACGTCAGCATAAAAGAAAGATTAGCGCAGGAAGAAGCGCTCAACAATGAGATTCTTCTGCTGTCTCGGTTACAATTTAAAGAAAGGGAGTGGCTGGTGGACCGAGGAGCACTTCAAGCCTGTCCTTTATGAGGTCCCATCCATCCCTTCTGTCGAAATTGGTTCTTCAACGTGGAGACGTCCTGCGGTTACGAAAAATGTTTCTTGGAGGTCGCTTTGGCCAAAGTAATGACATGACGCTAACCATGGGTGTAGGACTAAATAGGGAAGCGCACAGTACGGGGCGTGGGCACGTAACCGACATTCTATCTGAAAGGTAGCGCATTTTTAAAAAGGCATACCAAAATGTTAATCCGTACTGAGTAGGCAGCCTATTCTAAACTGGATAACGAATAGTTAACAAGTAGTTGAGCCATGTCCGGCTGGCACTCAGGAGTGTTTTGACAGATTTAGTTACAGCAAGTTTGGGCTTCCCGGAAGGAGCCATTTGGGAGGTGGTTTCGCGGAAAAAAAGGGAAATTGGAATTCTGCCCGAGGAATTTGAAAAAGAAAAATTTGGATGGAAAATAATTTAATGTACTTGAACTAAATCTACTGGAAATAATCTAATACATGGCGATTTTTCCGAGCTTATTTCATGGAAGTACTGAATGTATAACTCTTGATTTAGACTTCTTTGACTTGAAAGTGAG